GGGTCACCCCATTGTACAGTAATACAGTAGATAGGTTGAGTTATCTTTTGAAAAACAAATTACATTGAAATTATCATTGTGTGTGTGTATAAAAGATAATAATATATATTACATTAAAAATTTCAAATATTTACTCACGAATAATATTTTTAAATTACAACAAAATAACTTAAGTCATTATCCTTTGTTAAAATATATTAAAATTTCTTCCAAATTCGTAATGCAAGTAATAACCCCCCTCCCCCTTCCTTCAAATATCACTATGAAAAACACTAACAAACTAAAAATTGATATATTTATATCAACTTTGACTGACTTAAAATATTGTATTGTAATTTTATACTTGTCCATTCATAGACATAATTAGTATTTTATATTATTTGTACATTTCATTTCTTTACTATTAATTTTGTTACTCACGAACGATTGTTATCAGTATCTAATTTGTAAATCTTGGGCCTGGCCCGTTTAAAACTTGAACAAATAAATAATATTTGAAGTATTGTTGAGAGTTTATAGTGATTATTAACAATTACGTTAAAATTTGATTCACGCGGGAAAATTAATGAAATCAATTGAATGTTTACCGCGGAGAGCGCAGAAAATTCTCAAGGACACTTAATTGACACCGTGATTGGATATTATTTTTCTTCCGTCTGCGATGTAGATGAGACTGTCTACCAGGGGGGTGTAGCTCTATAGAGAATTGATGTGTTACTCTGATAATATGAATTACGAAATCAGAATGACAACTGTTGAAATGTAATGAGTAATAAGTAAAGTTGGCAAGTTGCAACATAAAATTGTTCTATTAATTTTAGATGGCCCGATGGTCACGATTACCAATTAAAAATTAGTATGTTATTTTAATTCGCGATCACAATAATTAATGTAGGTACTTACTACTTACGCGTGTGACATTTGAGTTTTAGTCATCCTATTATTTTTCTGTGTTTAAATAACAAAAGTTAGTACCTACATTTGATTCTTTATAAATTATTTCCTATGTAACGGTTTATTTCATGTTTAACATCAGATGCCGTCCAAAAACTGTATTGTTAAATTTTGTGACACAACATACAAAGACAAAAAAACTATTCGGCATTTATTTCCTCGAGATGAAACTCTTTTTTATACTTGGGTTCAACGCACAGGAAATCAAAAATTAAATAATTTGAGTATGCCAGTTATTTACAAATCATATGTTGTTTGTGAAAAACATTTTGATGACAGCTGTAAGAGCACAGGAACTAAAAAGTTGAATCGCAATGCTTTACCAACATTGAAGTTGCCGATTGGTTTGTAATACATAACGTATATTTAATGTGTGTGCACGTTTGTGTTTTGTTATTTAGCTACATTTGGATTATTTTACTAACAAAAAACTATAATTTTTATAAGAGTTATACATCTAATTCAGGTAGGTATGTTCTTTATGATAATTTATGTTTGGTTATTTTATGTACCCAGCTATTGTATTTCAAAATAATATTTTAACAAAATGTAAATAATTGTATTTTAACATCCTAGGAAAATAATATTGTCTACTAATACTTGTTGTAATCATTAAGGACTTCTAGTTAAAGTGTCAACCTCACTGGGATGTTTCAATCAATGTTTGTATGTACTATCTTTGTGTCGTTGTGTTGTTAACTACCTAACAATTGTCTTAACCACTGTGTTATTACTGTTGTGATAATTATTCAACTGTATTGTTTATTTTACATGACACATAGGTATAAATTTGAATGAATGTTTTAAACCCTATCCACCTAACAGTAACAATGATGTAGATGAAATGATCGTGCAAGAGCCTAACTCACATCCATCATGCTTTACAGGTATATTTATTTGTTTCTACTAAATTTAATTTAGTTTAAAATATAAAAATTAAACAACAAATCTGTGCATAAAGTTTTTTAAATAAGGGGTTTTATTTGATCTATTTCTTAATATTTACAGGTTTAAATGTTATTGAATCTTATGAGTCTCCTCTAAAGAATACAAGGAATATTCCTATTATATTTGATCCAAAAACATTAGGTAAACAAATAATATAATTATATTTATAGTATTTATGTTAACCAATATTCTTATATTTATGTTTAGCTGATATTAGCGGTGTGATGTGCTTAAAAAATATTAGTGATCGAATTCCAAATCCTGCCATTGCAAGTACAACTTCAAAAATCAAAGGTAAAAATAATATA